TTATAAAACAAATGAACATGTCAAAATTTGTTAATATGATATTAAACCGTATTTTGAGCTGTCATCTTCTTTCAGCATACACATGTTTTTTTTTAATGTATTTATGTATATAGAATCCTCATTTCTATCCGACATCGTTGTCTTCTCAGTAATATTGATATTAAGATCACTTGACGTAAATTGGCTACAACGTCTGATATCATTTAGATATTAATGTTTTTCTTTATCTTTCTGTCGTCGCCTTTTGTTATCGTTTGGCACATAGATATATATATCTATATGCACACGTACGAGGGATCTGGTGTATATAAATGTTCTCAGGAATACGACAGAAAAAACGAAGATAAGTGAACGAGATCAATACATATCCGAAGTGGCATTTATTAAACTACGAGTGATATAGAAATACTTAGACAATAAATAGTCAAAGAGTTTTCTTACCGGTGAGTTTTTTTTTTTTTTTTTGGTTTTCGAATTTATTTTCTTTTAAAAGAAAAATCTGAAATGAAATAATGAATATGGACCGTAAATATTTTCTCTCTTTTATACAAGTTTGATCTATATTGTTATTTATTTACTTGAAACATTGATTTTCTCCTGTTCATAGTAAATCAATGAAAATGAACTTTCCTTTTTTTCTTTTTTTTCAGCCTCAATTTGACGTGTCGATTTATTTTCTCAACAAATCATTTTCTTGGCTCTTAACTTTTCTTATTAAATTCAACAACATATATTAAACATTTAATCAATCGATCGTTCAGCCTTGTTCTTTTTTTCTTTCTCTCTATATATTATAAATTTATTATTTTGTTACATCGAATAGAATTCTTCTATTTTATTTATCTCAAGGTGTATAACCAACGACCTTGCTTATATAAATTTTATCTAATCTTTTTTTTATTAATATCTTAAATCAAATATTTCTTAAATATCTTTTATCTTCATTTAATTAATCAATCAAGTGTGTGAATAACGCACAGAACAAACAATACTAGAACATTATACTAAAATAGAAACGTGTTCTAGTTAAAATATTCTGTACAATTTTACACAATCACCTCCAAAAAAAAAACCTATTTTATTATTATACATAAGGTAAGAAAATGGCAAATAACTTGAGAGTCATCCGAAAAAATTTCAATACTAGACGTAAACCTGTCGTATATATGTATTACTAGTTGATATGACAAAAAAGAAAAAAAAATCAACGTGATCGCACGATCGGTTTTTTTGCGTATTTCAGTATTAAAATATATTTTTTGTTTATCGTCATATATCGGTTATATGTTGAGTAGTGTCCTCTACCGATTATAACATCAATCATATATATATATGTATATATGTCTATTTTTATGTCTTGATATTTGCCTGCTAAGATATTCTTGTCTTCATTTATTTTTTAGAAGAACAAGACGAACGTGTCAACTTATCCATCTACTCAGAATTTCTGTCAATAGACAAGCAAAATCTACAAATAACAAAAATTTCTTAGTACGAGAAGAGTATTGGTAAGTAATCGTTTTCACTTAAATGATAAATAAAAGCATACATTAATGTAATAGGACATAAATACTTTATAAGATCTAAGAGATAGAAAGTTAATGATAAGAATAAGTTTAATTATTCACAATAAAAAAATTTTTTTTTTTGACTGTATAAACAAAATTTTAGTACTATATTCTGATTTGTCTTACAATCAATTTTTCCGATCAATGATTTGTAAGTGTCTATTATGAGTATAGAACAATAGTTTATACGAGTCGATCACTTTTATTAATTGTAAGATAGACAAAAAGAAAGAAACAAAGAAAGAATGAATAATCACATTGTGTTAATGTTGATATTTTGTACATGCGTTTGCTCTCTCTTTCTTCGGATACCATACAACAACTGCTACGGTTAATGCGACATCCATCCATCGTGTGGCATCATGTCTATCCTTCATGCACGTACATATCTACGGATAATTTGTATCTGCTTTTCATATGTTCTTACTCATTTATTCATTTCTTTTTATCAACCGCAAATATTGTTTTTCTATATATATATATAGCTAAGTTATTTCATCATGTATTTCCTATATTTTATATCTAATGTGGACAGTAAGGTAATATTTGATTTCTTTATATAAATTGTATAATAAATTCAAAATTATCTTTGAAATATATTTATTTATTTATTCGATAAATCAATTAAAAAATGTATGTTAATTATGTGTATATCGAATTATGTAAGATCAAGTACAATATCATATTCATATGATATCTAGAAAATATATCGAATCCGTTGGACTAAAGAACAATATTGTCAATTATCGCGGGAATATTCTGATCTATCCATCTCCTGTTCTATTTTCTTTTCAAATTCTCATGAGTACTTTTTTTTCGGAAATCGGTCATTAGAACAGACAGAGATATATATTTATGTACCATCTGTGTAAATTTGTCTATATATCAAGAGATTTATTCGAAGAAATGTATATATATATATATAAGTTTTTTTTTGTTTGTTTCATTGAATGATTTCTATTTGTAATCGTAAGTATTCAAATGTTCCGTTTTCGGTTTATTTGCATTTTATCGGCACCATTGATTTTTTTTCTAAATGTCAATATGATACGATCAGTGTACTTAACGAAAATTTTTTTTTTTTTTCTTTAGAAAAAGAAAAAAGAGTAAGAAATTCGATAATGAAGGAAGAAAATGGGGGTTGAAACAAGTAACATCTGTGCTTTAGTATTCTTTTTTTGTATAGATAAGAAACAAGGAATATAAACTATTGATTCAAGTAGACAACTATTAAAGTTAAAAATAGAGTAACATTTGTAAAAATTTGAACAATTAACATAACCGAGCTGTCACCTTATATTGTCAAAATCTATTTGAAGAGTTATGCTTCTATTTTCTTTTCTTACATAAAAGAGTAAGTTCTTTCCAATCAGAAGAAATGAAGTGTCAATATCATTGATTTTTAAGTATATGTATATTTAGTTTCTTTGTTTGTCTTTTTAGTTTTCTTTTCGATGATATGTAACAACAAATCAAATATATACTTTATTGCTAAAAAAAAAATTCAGTTTTTTTTTTTTTAATATTTACGAGAGGGACACATGCACTTATCAACTTGAAGAGATTTATTTTAATATTGTCAGTATAAATATAAAAAGAAAGAAAATATAGCACAGAAGGATTTGGACAGGTGGTTACTGTTTGACCTTTTTGCTAGCAAGCAACAACACCACATGCCCTTCTCTATTTAATGTACATTCTAATTGACTTCCGCAATGAGCATAGAAAAGATTAATCGTGCCCATACATCATCACTAGATTAACCAGACAATTCACAAAAACAAAATTAATTGAAATTCAATGAGACTAGTGAATATATATATAGACAGAAGTCATGTCTCTGCATTTCATCTTCCGCAATAGGCAGGAAAAAATATCAATATGTGCTGCGCTCTGTTTTTTTTTTGTTGATTCAATGACAGATAATATTCTCAGATAATCGATAGTAACACCTCGCGTGCAAGTACACGATTGTATATACACTCAGCTATAATAATAATAAGAGCAAGAGAGGAAAGAAGAAACGAGAAATGTCAATTGTTTTATATATTATCATATGCTTACATCATCAATATGATTGTTTCAAGTAAATATATATTAACATTGAAAATTTTTCCATAAAAATTCTTTTATTTTGTTCTGTATATGAATATGACTATAAAACAGATATTCAATCATCATTCACAATCTTGTTCTGTGTTTGGGGAGAAAGAAATAACAAATGTGTCTTATTCAATTATAGACTTCGAATGCACTAAATCCATTTGGTGTTCTATGTTTATATTTGGCACAAGGACGCATGCCTACATGCATTTGTCACAACATAGACACTTGTCGTTTTTCCTGGTCGATTGCGAAATGCATATACAGATGTTCATTAAACTTACATCAATATATAGGATAGGCTTTGCTCCCTAGCTATCAAGACTATAAAAAGAAAAAAAAAAGCAAAAGTTGTTGCCTTTCTATTTGCATAATAACAACAACAAGAACAATTAATTTTCTCTCTTCGTTCTTTCGGCATGCTTAGATGTTCTCGGGTTACTGCAGACACGTTAGGGTAAAGCGGCGTTTGTCGCTATCCATCCAGACAACATAACCTAATCGGCACATTTGATTATAGAATATAATCATCATCATCATCATCATCATCATCAGAATCATTATTAGAAAGCGTAAAGAAAAAGAAAAGGTATTCCAGTCTTGCGTTCGTTAAGTCTTTTATTATTGATGAAAGATGAATATCTTTTCTTTTTCTATTGTCAATTCTTTCTTTTTTTTTTTTTTTGCTTTGATGAAAAACGTTAGCCTATCAATGAACATGGAAAATAATGATGACATAGAATCCTTTCTTCCTTATTTCTTTTTCTCTTCTATTTTTAACTTAAATACATAGCGATAATGGACGGGCGTTTTTGTCACACGAACCAGAAAAAAAACCCGAGTGCGTGCGAGTGCCTGAAAAAAATGGTGCTGTATGAAAGAGAGAAAAGAATTCTCCTTGTGCTTGCTAGTTGTCGTCTTCTTTCTTTCTCTTTTTTTATTGCCATCAGTTAGTCGTTTATGAGTTGTCTCTTTTTTTTTTTTAACAACGACAAAAGAAGGAAAAGAGGACGAAGATTCCATTTCTACTATACAACCGCTGCCAACTTTGACATTTGAAAATTGTTTTTCCTTTCTTCTTTTTTTTCTGTTCGCTTTTTTTTTTTCTTCATCATCGTTTGACGAAGAAGTTTTTTTTCTTTTTTGCCCTCCTTCTCTATTTCTCTCCTTCTCGGTGTTATTGCAGACAGAGAATAGCAGCCGCAATAAACACACTGCTACCACCTTTTTTTTTTCCTTATTACTCGTTTGATATGTTCACGCATTGTCTTATGTTTTGGATTATAAAGACATATTCTTATTGAAGAAACGAATAAATAGATACGCGCGATGGGTTGTTCAAATGCTCGTTTATTAGTACAAGCACCATCGGCTACTGAAACCGGTGCAAGAACAAATAATCTTTTATCATCATCAACAGAAGGAACATCTCCAAGTAATGTTCCTATTGATACAACATCACGAATGCATTTAACAGGAGTTGATCTTGTTGTGGAAAGAAATGGTTCATACACACTTTTACTCACACCAAAAACACATAAGCAATTAATGCCTTATGTATTACGAAAGAAAAGATTTCGGTAAGAAATATTGATAATAATTATAATGATTGGATTTTGCATTCAATGAATAGTGAGTGAATGAATGAATGAATGAATGAATAAGAGAAAAAAATTTTGTGAAGTATATATATATATAAATATGGGACATTTCATATGCGTGCTGGTACGCATAACGTATTGTTAGTCAATCAAATTAGTTTTTCGAGAGAGAAAGAACGATTCGTGTGTATAGCTTCACATTTATTTCAAACTCACTTATGCGATGTGCGATTGCATGCATGTATATATATTTCTGTGTGTGTGTGTGTGTGTTTGTGTGCATGAATCCACTCAAGAAAAAATAAAGAATGAGTTGTATGTTGTCAGAACTGAAATATAATCTTATAGCAATGAATAATCGAACAACAGAAACATTTTTTTTTTCTGCGTTAAATATATTGATGACTATGTCACATCGTCATCATCTAACATAAAACAAAAAAAGAAAGAAAATTCTTGATTCTGCATGAATGCTATGAATATTATGATATATAATCACAAGAAAAAAGAATTTTTGGAAAGTATAACAATAAAAGAATGGATGTACCCTACTGAGTATTTATCACCCGTGTAGATAACATTGAAATGAACATGAAATTGACAATTTCCGGTGAAACTAATTTATCAATTGATTAGAGAATAGTTGTATTCTCTTGAGATTAGCGCATAGAGTATACAATAGTATAATCTCTTTGAATTGATTCTTCTATTCAAAATATCTTTTCAAAGATAACAAAAAAACAAAAACGTTTTTCTTTCTGTTTTTGTTTTTTTTTATAAAAGGAAAGATTAATTAAATCAATAATTTTATGTTTATTAATTATTTTTTTGTATGTTAATAATTTATTTAGTCATCTAATCTGATATTTCCGATGTCTATTGAATTTAGTAAACAAAAAAAAAAAAAAAGAAACTTTTTCTTCTGTTGAATGACACAGATGTCGCTATAGAACATTCCAGGGCTTATAATCATCGATATTTCTTTTACATTTCATAAAATACTTGATTAATAGGAATAAAAATTGTCCTTGTATAAGTATTTTCTTTTTCATCATATTTATTCGAAGCGAAATAAGCACAACCTGATGGTGCCAAGCACCATCAATAAAATGTATTGTGAAAAGAAGAAAAAGAACAAGGCGAAACTAAGAATTATGTTGAATGTTTTTTAATTTCATTTAGAATTCTCGTTGATAAGCCTCGCTCAGAACCAACATTAATTTCTAATGAACAAATTATGGAAAATAATAAAGAATTAAAATTAAATACTGAAAAAAATCAAAAATGTAAAGAAAATCAAATAAATGCATCAACAATTGAATCTATTGAACAAATTGCATCTGATGAATTAAATAAAGTTCAATCTCGTTTAATATGTGGTCGTAGTATTGATCGTGGTAATCCAGATGATGAAGATGAATATACTCAATCGGATGATGAAGGTATGATTGAAGAAATAATAACAACTGTTGAAGAAGATAAAGATCTTGAATGTAAAGTTAAAAAGAAAATTGAAACAAAAAAAACTATGTCACAACGTCCTGATACACATGATACAATAACAAAAGTTGTTAAAACTGAAGTTACAGAAATAACACGTACAATAACAATAAATGATCATCATGATATTGAACGTGCTAAACGTGAATTAGGTATTGATGCTGTTAATAGACTTTTACCATCATCAACATGGAAGAATCAATCAAATGTAATTGAAGTAAAAGAAAAACATAATGAACCAATTAAAGAAGTAGTTACGTCAAAAAATTTATCATCAGATAGTCAAATAAAACAAACTCAACAAGAAAAAAATCTTATCTTATCTGAATCAACAACAGTTGGACGGGGTCCTGTTAATGAAACAATATTATCATCATCATCATCTTCAAAATCTGAACCAAAATCAACTGAAATTAAAAAAAAGAAAAAAAAATCTAAATTCTGTTCCTGTACACGTTCAACTGATGATGATGAACATAAGAAACCAAATTTAATTAAAACTTCAATTGAACCAAAAGATCAAATTTCAACAGTAACAATACCAACCGTTATTAAATCAGTTATGGATACACAAATTGAAGGTCAACAATTAATATCATCCGATATTAAACAATTAATTATGGATAAAAAATTTCTATTAATTGATTATATACATTCAAAAATATTTTTACCATCAAAATTATTAACATCAAATGAAGAAGATTTAAAAGCTAGAAAAATTTCATCACGTATTTTGGATTTATTACGTTATGATCGTTGTTCATCATGGACACAAATGTTTGAACAATTAACTGAGGAATATACTAATTATTTACCGACTAATGTAATTATTAAACCAATGCTTAATACATATGAAAGTTTATTTACAAATAAACAGTCAAATTTATTAAATACGTTTTCAACAATTCATAATGAAAATGATATTAAAAATATCCAAGAAAATAATGATTATATAACTATTGTAGAAAACCATATTGATGAACGGGATAATCAACCAACTATTGGAATTCTTGTACAACAATCTGTTGACAATATAGAAAATACACTTGAAAATTTACAGCAACCTATTCAAGAAGAACAAGTTGAAAAAGGTATTTAAGAATTTAATCAATGTTTATGTAACCCACATTTTTTCTATATCAATCTTCGGCTTTCTCTTTCATTGAGATATAATATGCTTGATAGATGGATGAGTGAATATGTCTGATATTAACCTTGATGTCAAATCGACTTTTTCCATAACATAACATAACATCTACTATATATAACAAGAAGATGATCTTTCTTTATACATTTTTTTTCGGATAGATAAATAGAGAAAGAAATAGATAATCGCCATAAGTTTTCCATCGTATTTCTTTCTCTTTCTATATGAGGTTGCATCATTATGGTTCATTGAATACATCGAACATATATGTATATGCCATAGCTTACGGTTAATCGTCTTAACATTTCCTTCCTTATTACATACAACAGAGAACAAAAAAATGAGCTAGCCATATCTAAGGCATTCGGTCGTTTTAATTATCTTCAAGATGAACATCTATCATCACGTCATGATCAATTAGTATATCACGAAGTAAAACGAGACGCCAGATAGAGATGACGAGAGAAGAAGAAGAAGAAGAAAAGAAAAAAAAGTTCTTGTTCACATATATATTTGTTCACATTGATTTTGACGAGCAAACGAGAGGTCATGTCTTATTTTATTGATGCATAAACCTCACGTTGGCGCGACCACTGGATAAATAATAGACACATTGGTGACAGATGCGTGTGTGTAGACATCGGTGTTTGTTTAAGGACGAGTGAACAAATGATTGAGTAGCAGAAACAAGAAAAAAAGTTGTTCGTTCGTATATGTGAACAGATCAGTGAAGAATATATCGGTTAACACAATGAAATTTCGACGGCGGTACGTTTTGTCTAAATGCCGTTGGATGCCGCTGGGACAATATTCTAATACACCTGGTAAGTTTGAATAGACAAAAGCTCACTTCACATAAATCAAACTATTAACCGTAAGCATTGAATTTTTTGTTAACACTCATTCTTTATCCTTTATCGTATGTATTGAAAAATTTTATTCTTTCTCTTTCATTTTATTCATATATATAATTAAGTATATAAAAAAAAAAACAATTTTTTCTTTTAGTTATTAATGATAATGAACAATTAATTAAAGAAGTAAATATGACTAATGATAATCAACAATCATTACCTATTTATAATGAAGAACATTTAACAAAAATGCTTGCTGATGTACCTCAACATAAACCAATAACATTACCTGAAGCAATAGCATATGAATATATTGATATTGAAGATCCTAAATTAGGTTTATCAAATGATATAATTCAATATATAAAACATTTATTTCGTCCATTATCTGATCAATCAACATCAAATTTAATACGAATCAAACGTTCAGGAGAATATTTAACTGATATTAATCTTACTGAAACAAATCCATTTGAAAAATTCAATATAAATGAACCATATATTTATCAATTACAACAATTATTTGAACCAACATTAGATTTTAATGAAAAACAATTTCGTTTATTAACAGATACAATATTAAATAATAAAGAACAATATGATCAATTACAATTTGATATAGCACCAACATCATTACCTATATATGATATAAAAGAATCATCAACAAATGATTTTAGTCAATCAGATTCAGGTTATTCAATGACAACAGCAACACATGAAAGTTTAGCAAGTAAAATAAAAATTGAATTTGAACCAATCAATCAAGATATACCTATACCACCAATACGTAGTGATTTATATGAAGGTGAAAAAATTGATTTAGATAAAGCAACACAAGAAGAATTAGATAAATATGAACTTAATCATGATTTAATTCAAATAATTAAATCAGATTTTAATGTATCTGATAAAGTAAGTTAAATTTCTCTTTTCTTTTTCTTTTTTTACTTATATATTATCAATTATTTTTTACAGACTGTTGGGCAAGCAATATTGTCCCATGAATTACGTTTGGATAGTACAGATCCGAGTGATATAGCACGTTTACATTCATTAGGTATTGATAAAGAGCAAGCAAGAATCTTAACTGCCTTTTTCTTTCCAAAACATACACGTATAATTGCTTATTCACCGGAACCTGGTCGTTTTGTTGAAGCTCAAACAACATACAATCCTGATTATCCAAATTATAAAACTGATACAACAATAATACAAATTCAAGAAAAACAACTTTCATCAGATCATCTTGCAAAACAAAGAAATATTCATGATGATCGAACATCACCAATTTTATCTGAACAAATAACACAATCAGAAACAAGTGTTCCTATTTCATCATCAGAAATTGTTTCAACAACAACTTCTAAAGAAACATTATCATCACCACCACCACCACCATCACCACCACCACCACCAACAACAACAACAGCAACAGTAACAGCAACAGCACCTATAAAAAAACGTAAATCAAGTGGTAGTGGTAGTTTATTAGCTTGTTTTAAAAGTAAAAAACCTAAAGCAGGAACTGAACAACAAGGTCAAGCAACTATTCAACCAACAACCATTGTTAGTGGAACAAATATTTCACAACAACCAGTTAAACCTATTGAAGCAAAACCTGTTATTGATTATTCTATTACACCAGATGGTAAACGAATTTATATCGATGCTTTTCGAGATCGACCTGGTCTTGATATGTCATATAAACCAAATGATTTTGAAAATCGATTCGTTCTACCTATCGTAAGGATTAGTATTTTAAATATATCCTTGTGCTTAAGTATATCTTCTTTTTTTTTTCTGTTACTTTAAATTAGTATTTGTTCATCTCAAATTGCTTTTACTTCCTCCGTCTTTTTTTTTTCTTTGATCATATTCTTATTTATTAACTTTCTTATTTTTAGGCAAAACCAGCATCTGAATATGAACGACCAGTTACACCTGAAATGGAGCGAATTACTGTTGAATCTAAAAGTATTGAACATGAACCTATGATTCATTTAGAACCACGACCACCAGTTATTGAACCAGTTGATGTTCAACCTGAAAAAACACAAACTATTGTTCCATTAACAAAAACTGATGAAGTAACAAAAATTACAAAAAAACCATCTATTGATTTACATGGAGCAGCTGTTAATTTACCAGATGTTGAATTAGTTCAACCAGGACCATTACCAACATTATCAATTAAAAAACAAGACAAAACAAAAAAAGTTAAAAAAACATCTGGTGGTTTATGTGCATCATGTTTTAGTACAAAAGCTAAAGAAAAAACAAAACAAAAAGAAACTATTTCCGGAACTATTCGAGCACCTATTGAACAAAAGAAAAGTTTTGAAGAAGAAAAAAAAGAAGATTTATCATCACCTGTAATTATAAAAACACCAGTTATTGAATCACCATCATTGACATCAACTACAATTAATGAACCAATTTTACCGAAAGTTAATATTGATATATTCAGAGAACGAAATTTTCAAAAAACTGCCGAGGTAAAATAAAACTCTCTTGCAAAAGAAAAGAATTATTTGAAAAAAAATATCCTTTTTTTAAATCAGAATCCTCCTCATCCAGAACAGCAGTTAGGTGGGACAATTGAAAAAATAATGCCAATTATAGAACCTCATCAACAATCATCATCTAGTGAACCATTACCATCACCATCACCACCACCACTAACGACTACAACTACTACCAGTGGATCACCAGTCACATCTCCAGGAATAAAAGATACATCGATTTTCTCTCGAGTTAATATTGATGTATTTAAAGAACGAAATTTTCAAAAGAATGCCGAAGTAAAATAAAACAATCCATTTGAAAAAAAAAATACTTTCTTTTTTATTCAGAATCTTCCTCAACCAGAACAACGGTTAGATGAGACCATTGAAAAAATAATACCAACTGTGGAGCCTCCTCCTCAACCATCATCTAGTGAACCATTACCATCACCACCACCACCGCCTCCACTAACGACTGCAACAACAACAACAACAACAACTGCTACTACTAGTGAATCACCAGTCACACCTTCAGGAATGAAAGATACATCGATTTTCTCCCGAGTTAATATTGATTCATTTAAAGAACGAAATTTTGAAAAGAGTCCCGAGGTAAAATAAAACTCTCTTGCAAAAAAACAAGAATCATTTGAAAAAGAAATATTTTTGTTTTTTAAATCAGAAGCTTCCTCAACCAGAACAACGATTAGATGAGACAATTGAAAAAATAATACCAGTTATCGAACCTCATCAACAATCATCATCTAGTGAACCATTACCACCACCATCGCCACCAGTAACGACAACAACAACAACAACAACAACAACAACTGCTACTACTAGTGGATCGCCAGTCACATCTCCAGGAATAAAAGATACATCGATTTTCTCTCGAGTTAATATTGATACATTTAAGGAACGAACTTTTTCAAAACCTTCCGAGGTAAAATTCAAAATAAATTTCTATCAAAGAAATCTCTTCAGCTGCTCCATTCCGATTTCTATGGTTGTTTTTTTTTACTTATTGATACTACATAGTGTTATAATACAAAACTCTAAGAGGATTTGAGTTCTTATCGAATTTTTAATATGTCTATTTTCTATTAGTTTCAGGTTTTCAAAAAACTCATATTTTCGAATTTTTATTTGAAACTTTATGAATACAAAACTCATCTAGACTAGCTTCCATAAAACAAAGTCTCTTTGAGATATGAGGCTGTCAAGAAATGCATGTTATATAGTGGTGGATATAAATTAAGAGCAGTTGTATTTTCAAGTTGTCTTCTCGATAGTAATAGCTATGAAGATGAAAGAGGACTTCTAGAAGACTAAGAGTTCCAAAATCAGTTTTCTAACATCCATTTGAAACTTTTTGAAAATGGTTTTTCTTTGATAGAGCAAAATGAGATGTCTCGTTTCTCTTCGTGATCTTCCTTCATTGAACTGCATTCAATTTACAGAAGATTCCAAAGTATTAAACACGACAAAATCATTGAAATTTTTCATAAAAACCAAAGAAAAATGTTTCTTAGATCTTCTGTAAATTGAATGCCGTTCGATGATGAAACTTTATGGAGAAAACTGAGACATCTGGTTTTACTCTATCAAAGAAAAACATTTTTGAAAAATTTTCAAATGAATACCACAAAAATTTTGTTTGAAGGAACTTGGTTTTCCCCGACATTCAAATCCAAACAGTTTTATTCGAAATTCTTAAGTTCACCAATCTTGATAGAAAAGTCGTTCATCTACTTAAATGTTCTTTCAGATTCTTCCTAGCTATTACCATCGAGAAGAAAACTTATATCTGCCACTATACAGCATACATTTTTTCAAAGTCTCATATCTTTAAAAGACTTTGTTTTATAGAAGCTAGTCTAGCTGAGTTTTCAGATCAAAATTCGGAAATATGAGTTTTTCGAAAATCTGGAACTTCTAGAAACAAGTTCGATATATTTGTCCAATCTCAATAGAAAACAAAACCTTTTTTTAAAACTTTTTATTAGAATACTATATAGTATCTATAGACAAAAAAGTCATTGAAATCGAAAGGGAGCAACTGAAGAGATTCTCTCACAAGTCATTTGAAATATTTGTTTTTTTTTTTATTTTGTAGAACCCTCCCAAACCAGAAGAGTATTTAAATGCAATAGATCAAAATATAGTATCACTACCTGAAGAATCTCATTATGAATCACCAACGTCTGAACCTATACAACCACCCCTGGCAGAAATAAAACCAATTGAATCAACTACAAAAGATTCATCGAGTTTTTCTCCAATCAATATTGATGCATTTAAAGAACGAACTTTTGAAGAAGGTTTTGAGGTAAAAATTAAAAATGTATTTTTCAAGTCATTCTAAAACTTATGTTTTATTATTGTTTTAGAGTCTTCCTAAACCGAAAGAAGAAGAACATCCAGATACAACAAATGTAACATTAACATCATCACACGAAGAACCTCATTATGAATTACCAAAAAACGAGCCTATTCAAACACAAATACCAATTAGAACAACATTTGAATCAATTCCAAAAGATTCATCGATTTTCTCTCGAGTTAATATTGATAAATTTAAAGAACGAACTTTTGAAAAAAGTCCTAAGGTAAAATATAATCAAATTTCAAAAATTATTTTTAATAAATTCTTTCTTCTTTTTTACTCTTTCTATAGAATTTTCCGAAGCCAGAAATATATTCAGATATAACTATTGAAAAAGGAATCCCAACTGAAGAACCATATTATCAATTACCATCAAGCGAGCCTGTGCCGCCTCCAATAATACCTGTAGAAAATGAATATTCAACTGTTGATCGTGATACATATGATGTTCCTCGTACAATTGAACTTCAACAAATAATATCCCCTAGTGAAATAAAAACAGACGTTAAAGTAAGAATTCATTGATTAATCTCATTCAAATAGATTTGTTTTTTTTTTTGGCAGAATTTTTCCTAGCAGTTCATCTAGTTTACCATGCTCTATTTATATACGCGACGAATCATTTTCTCAGGAAGATCCACTCGAAAACTATATTAAATGATATATATATATATATACTTATCTGACTTAAGCTTCTTTCTATTTCTAGAAGACATATGTTTTCTTTTATGATAAGAATCAGAAAAGTCCACTAGTATAGATAGACATACGCCTCTGCGATCTTGTCTCCTAGCCCATCCTATTTTGTGGGAACAGTTGCATCCACTATATTTCTTTACTACATTGCTTGTCTTCTCTTATTCTTTCGTTGCTATCTTTCGATTTATTATTATATTTTCTGTAAGCACTTACAAGTATTACAATAAAACTCAAAATAAATTCTCTCAACTTTGGTCGATAGAAAAAATTGTCGAAAATCCAAGTACTCCTCGTTGACCACAGATGTCGCTCACACTTGTATGTATTTGTGTTATATTATATTCTATTTATAACTAGCTTTAAAAAACTTCTTCATCTCAGATTCACAAGGATTTCATGATTTCCGGCATTTATACTAACATAAAATGTGCCGTACTCTATAACACATTAAAGTACGATACTAGTTGATCGTCATGACACATTTCAAAAATGTGATTCGAATCTATCCTTTAGCACATTTGTAATTTTTTATTGTATCATCAAATATTTACTTACATTAGTAATAGTCTTTCTTGGAGTCCAAGATGGAATAATCTTAAAATTTAGTTAATCCAAATGGGTTTGATCTCAATCAAACCACTTCAAGTCAGTTCATTCTTGAACATCACTCATATGTAATTGCACGTGTTCAAGAAAACAACAACTGAACGGCTAACTAATAGACTATGATAGATTTTATTTTAATGTATTTAGCAACTTTAACATAGACAAAAACAAAACGTCATGTTACGTTCTATAAGACACATGACAATTCATCTTATTTAATAATAGAAAGAATATAAAAGAACACGTGTTTCTATTCTATATAAAAAGCGCGAAATGATCGTTTATTTGAAATTCTTTTTTTTCTCTTTATATTTAGACAATCACCGATGAACCAATGATTCCGTCAACAATTGATATTCAAAAATCTAGTGGTGATTTTCTTACAAATAAGACTGTTGAAGAAAAAATAAAAATTGATAAAATATCTCCAGTTACAACTGATATTACACCAAGTACGGATATTAAAGGAACTAAAATTCAACATCCATTAACACATTCAAAGAAAACAAAAAAATCTAAAGAAAAAAAACCGAAAACCGAAAAAAAATCTGGTGTATTGTCAACATTTTTTCAACATAATAAACAAAAATCTAAAGTACCAGCACTTGATTTACCACCAGTAGAACGTGATTTATCATCAAATACTCAATTATGTCCAACATATCAATCGGATAATAATCCACTACATATTCCATCAACTAATTTACCAAAACTTGATATTCCATTACCAACATATGATCGACCAGAAGTTAATATGACAACAGGAAAAATTAAACAAACATCAGAATTTGCTGTACCTATTATTGATTTAACACCTATACCTAATTTAAATGTATCCGAAGATAATAAACAATTAATTGATACAACTTCTGATCATATGAAAATTCCTAATGTTCAATTACCTAATCTTCAATTTACAAATGATGATGAACAAAAAATCAATAAGTTATCTCATACTGAAATACAAACAAAAGTTGAAGAAATTCCAAAACTACCAACTATTGAAAATGATCAAAAAAATCTTCCAATTCAAACAGAAACAATCATTCCAAAATTATCATCATTTGATAAAACAGAAATATCAATTAAACCTGAACTATCACCAATCGAACAAAAAATTACAATAAATGAAACAAATATTGATCAATTATCAAAACCTTCAGTTACCATTGAAGTATGCTTTTTTTTTTCAAATAAAACAAGAAATCCTATTGGATTAAAGGATCTATTCAGAATTGAAAAACCAAATATATCATATTGTAGAGCGAGCATGTCGAGGTGGGCCGAGTAGCATACAGCAGATTTTATTTTTATTAGACTTTGAATGAAAACTCCTGCCTTTCGGCTACCTTGCGGTTGCCTAGCAGCAGATTCCATGGCTCGATATATTCACGACAACTATTACCAGCTATAGCCCTGCACAGAAGACTGATCTATAGGAAGTTGTGGGTCCATGTTTTTATAGGCTCGGGCCCGAACGAAAATAAATAATCTGACACAAAGTTCTTGCGCTCATCATACATACTAATCAATCACAAGAGCAGGCGTATGTCACAACATAGTCAGCATGCTATCGGGCAAGTGATCCGAGGCGCACAGCCATTAGTGACTTACCAAGGATTATTTTCAATTCTGAATAGATAATCTAATCCGGGAGACTCGGTTTTTTTTAAATTTCTTTTTATTATTTAGAACAAAACAAGTCCTAATTTTAATTTTCAATTACCACCTACAGAACCTGTTTCAATATCATCGAAAACTTCTGCATCAAGTCCACCATCATTTGATGATAATGTTCCATCACAAATTATTTCAACAAGAAAACCATCTGAAAAACAATTAATTGAAACAAAATCTGAACCAAGAAAAAAGTCTTCAATACTTTCATTATGTTCATGTTTTAGTAATAAATCAACTAATTCAAAAGATAAAATTCCTTCTATTCAAGCACCAAAAACAAATTTACCAGAAGTTAATATACCTCCTTCATCATCAAATATTTCATCAACATTAAAAACTCAAGGATCATTACGTGCACCATCGAATAATTTACCACAACTTGATTTAACTCCAACATCAGTTGAACCTGTTACTGTATCAACAATTCATATACAAGATAAAAAACAAGAAGAAATTCAAGCACCTCGCGTTGAAAAACAATTAGGAGAAGAAAAAATAAAAGTTCAAACAGATACTCCAACAGCACTTATTGAAACACAGAAAGTGAAAGACATTCGAGTAAGATTACAAAAAAAAAATATATTTCTAAACTCTTCCTCGTCATAAGAACTGATAGAATTCATGAAAAAAAAAATGACTGCCTTTCATTTTTATTTACTTATTTTGTCACGTATATTTGTTTATTCTTATCAGAAAAAAGCTATTTTGCAGAAGCAAAAAAATGTCACACAGAATACCAAATTTTGGGAAGAAAACTATTAACAAACAGTACTAGTCTTATCTGATATTGTTTATCAAGTACCTCATTCATAGAATGGTATTATAAAAGGTCGAAGTCCAAATATAAAGAAATTCTATCCTGCTGCTATTTATTATTTCCACTGATTATGTTGAATTAACTCTGTTATACTAAACATTAGATCAGATTTCGATTGTTAAGAATGTCAAAGAGAGGATCTTCTCAAATGTCTTCGTCTGACTTTTTAATGTTTTTATTGTCTATAAAATATTATATAATATTCTAGTAAATGAATTTCGACTAGAAATTTTTTTCCTATTAGGTACTAGAGTAATACATAATTGTCAGATAAAATAAAAACATTCTTCTAGAGTTATTCAATATGTACGAAATTTCGATTGCAATTATCTTTTTTTTCGCAAAAATCTTGAGTTTTTCAAGAATTTAAGATCTTTAGAAAAATCCAATTTATTTTCTGTGAAAATTATAGACTATTCTAGATCTATTCATGGAAGCAATATCAGGTAAAAAGATCCATCGAAACAGTCATCATTTTTGAAAGAAACAATGGATAGTCAAATCCATTTTAGAATTTTTACTAGGACACTACTCTACAGGCGAAAGATTATTAAAATCAGAGAGAGGGAAGAATATTTGAGAAAGTTTTAGTAAAATTCATCCAACAATTATCTTTCTCAATATACAAAATTTGTTTGTTTTTCTTTTTAATTAGAATGTTTCTACTGAATCGAAAAAATCATCATCATTTGATATCAAAGCACCAGTTTTAAATATTCCCGAACTTAATTTATCTGATTCATCAAAAATTGATGCCTATCTATCATTTACTAAACAACAAGATTCAACATCAATTCCCGAACAAATTCAATCACGTTCTGATAGTGGTCTTGAAGCAATTATTTCTTCACATATGCATCCATCATCAACATTTGGTACAATAACAACAATGGAAGATATTCAACAACATCCATCAATTAGTTCTGGTTTAGGTAGTGAAATTTTAGATAAAACTACAATACACAGTTCAACATTATATGATATTCAAATAATACAATCAAAAGAAGATATTAATTTAACTAACTATGATAATCTTACATATAAAATAACAATGAATGATGATATACGTTCAAAATTAATATTTCGACAAGATGATTTAAAAAAATGTTTAGAAAATGAAATAGCAAAATCAATTCATGATTTTAATCCAAAAAAAGATCATAAACCATTAGAAAAAATTTTAATACATGCTATTGATTTAATTAAAGATAATAAAGTAACAACATATTCTGAATTACAACAAACATTAACTATGGAACATAAAAATGATGCTTTTATTGTTAATCCTGTTGTACGTTCACTTTATTGTACAATTGAAAAACAAGGTTTAGACAATATAGATAAACCCGAATTCCCATTAGCTATACGTGATGTAAATATAATGATTAATGACTTTCTATTATTGCATATTTTTTTTTCTATTCCTCTTTCTATTACAACAGATGGTACGTCTTCCGGCCAAGCAGACATTTGACACAGTGACGCATTTGAATAAAGAAGAAATGCCATTAGCTACAACACAAATGACAAAGTAGGTTATTAAAAGAGAAAAAAAAATGTCTATATAGCTAGCAATTCAAAGTTGAAATAATAAAAAGGTTTTGAAAAATTCTAAAATGATAAATTTGTTTGACTTAAATTGTAATAAAAAAAAACTGTCATTATCTTTTTATTGAATAACAGAAGTTTCGAGCATTCTATAAAATTAATTTATAGGTAGATAGAAAGTAATCTGTTTTTTTTTTCCTCGAAATTGATTAACAAAGAGTAAATATAATAGTAGAGTAAAACCTAATCAATAGTAATTTTTTATCATTGATTTTGTCATTGCCTTAACTAAACTATGTGTTGAATAAACAGTTTGAAATGAATAGGAACAAAAAAAAAACACACACAATTTCAACACTTCTATTCAATGAAAGAGTCTTCTATTCAATATATAATGTGTCATTTGACATTCTACTTATAATCTATTCACGTTCTCCTATTCATTCTAAATAGCTTATTCAATAGTCAGTCAGAAATCAATAATTAAGATAACTATTGATTACTTTCTAGTCAACGAACATTGTATACAAAGGGCGTCATTGTGGCTAAGGTTGTAGGCGTGTGCGGATGGAGAAACTGTCAACACTCACATCCTTGAGGAAAAATAATATATATATATTTCGATTTGATCTTAATTGTCATACAAAAAAAAAAACAATTTCAGCGTAATCGTTCGGAAGAAAACTTCAAATTTTTTTTTGTTGTTAAAAAAATTGATTTTGAGAAAAATGTGAAATAATGTAGAGTTTTTGCTTAGTTAATTTTTTAACGTTTAAAGACAATTTTTGGATTCCAAGACTATAGACGATATAATGACCAGAAAAAAAAATTTGTGTCAAGAAAGGCGGAGAGGGAAGAAACGCCCTTAAAATAATCAGATTATCGTATGAAAATTGATAATCTATTATATTTCTTTACAGTGAAACTCGTTCTCTTATTCCGGATGTTTCTATTCCAAGTGAAACACCCATAACTATCGAAAAGAAATCATCTAAACAAACAACAAAATCAATAGATAATAAAACAGGTTCTTGTTTAACATGTGGTCGTTCAAAATCGAAAACAAAAATACCATCATCATCATCATCATCATCAACAACAACATCATCGAATGGTTTACTTGATGAACGTCGTCGTTTACAATTAAATACTCATCGTCATGAATTAGGTACTATTCTTCATGAACATATACAATCATCAAAACCATCAATTCGAAAATTTAATGAACATTCAAAAGAAATTGAAAAAATTATTCGTCGAAGTTTAGTACTTGTTACACATCCAAAAATTCAATCATATGAACAAATTCGTAATGATTTAAAAACAGAATATAAACAAATATTTTATCTTATTGATCCAATTATTGATATTATACGTGATACATTTAATAGTTGTGATATAACACAAATGCATGAAAAAATTAATCTTGATATATTAAATTCAAATATATCACAAACAGCAAATTTATATAATAATCAAATGAGTTTATTAACAATTGAAGAATATAATATATTAAAATCTAATAAATTATTATGGTTACAAGAATATTTAATTAATAATGAAATAAAAGAAAAAAAATTAACACGAAAACAAATTAAAGAATTAAATAAAATTTTACAACGTAGTTTAGAAATACTTTCAACAAATACAATATCAACATGGGATGAATTATTATTACAATTACAACGTGAATATTTAAAAGCACATGATTTATGTAATCGTTCAATTGAATTATTAAAACAATCACATCGTGATGGTCTATTTTTATTATCACAAGCACCTAATGAAGAAAAACGACGTTCATCATTTTTATTAAGTGAACGTGCAAGACAAAATTTAAAAAATCATCGATCAAAAATTAATTTATCATTAAAAAATTTGTTAATTAATCATAATAAATTATCAAATGATGATGATGATAATAAACAATTAGATATTTATCTTAATAAAACATTAACATATTTAGATGAACAAAAACCAGGACAATTTAAAAATTATAATGATTTAAAACAACAATTAAAACAAGATTTTAAAAATAATAATAAAAATCAAGATTATTTAATTGAACAAATTGTTGATGTTATTGAACAAGCACATGCAATAAATCAATTTGATGATATTGATAAACCAGATGTACAAACCTTAATGAAAGATAGATTAGATGGAAAACGTATGTTTTATTATTTAGTATTTTATATAATTTTAATTTTTTCTTGTTTTTTTTTTTTTTTAGCATTAATTATTAAAGAAATGTATGTTTCATTACCACCACGTATAGGTATATCAAAATCTGCTAATGATGAATCATCACGTTATTTATTAACATCAATAAATGGTGATCGAACATTAAATAATACAACATCATCACATTCAATAGCTCGTGGTCTTAGTTGGAGAGAAGCAAATGAACGAGCAAGAATTTTATTCTATCGAGGAAAACATCCAGCTATACATTATGATGAACAAGCTGATGCATTTGATGTTAGAATGTTACTTGAAACAGCATCGGGTGGTACTCAGGAAATACCTGTCACAGATACTGATGTAAGAAGAAAATTTCAACAAAAACGGAAAGCAAAAAAAAAAATCCAAAAACAAACACCAAAGTCATATGTAGATCTTTGTGTATTATGATAAATTTAGTTTCGAACAATACAGTTTTGTCTAAACATTTGTAGTGTAAATAAATAGGAAGGTCATCCCCTCTTTCTAGAAGCGTTATTAGAAGATCTCGATTGCTTCTCTGGTAATGACAGATTTACAGGGGGACACAATCGCCCCTTCCTTCCGAACTTTTTTTCCCAGCAGAAAATGCCAAAAAATGAGCTGATTCGACTTGAAAACATGTTTTGTGACTATGATCATGTTATTCTTTAGTATTTACTATACAAAATGATATATTTTTGGAATTGGATTGATGTCTTTGCGAAGCTTGAGTTTTTTCCATCTTTGTAAAGCCCTTAGAAGATGTGACTCACATCTTAATTCACTTATAGGCAATTTAGAGAACTCAAAATGCTTTTAAAAATGACTGTGATGCAAGTCTCTACTATGATCGCCTCTATTTACAGAAATTCTAGATCTGTCATAAGAAACTAAGCTCTTTCTAAAACTTTTTTTCATATGGATGAGATTTTAGTTGTATTTGACCAATAAATTTTGTTCTCATTAATAGATTTCGATCAATTTTAAATCGTTATTTCTGAGTGACTATTCTCCCTCCCATTATATACATAATCTCAGTTCTGTACTTTAGATTATCAATGAATTATGATAGATGTCAAATACAAAAGCATTATTCTTTTTGTGACATATGTTTAAGAAAAGGACATGTTTTAACAATAATTAAGAACGAGAAAAGAGATATTAGTAGTCGAGTATTTGGACTGTATGAAAACATATGGTTTCATTTTTTCCATTAGAATCCATATTTTTTTTGACTTATACTAATTTGATTTTGATTTTCCAGTACACAAGAATAAATGCTATAGATGTCATAGAAGAAAAAGAGCAAATTGTTTGAATAACAAAACAGATGAGAAAATTTATTCTTATGATAAATTTCTTTTTGTTTTGTTTTTTAGAGATAATATCAGAAGACTTTCTAACAAAAAGAAAAAGAAGTATTATACTCATTTTTTAGAATGATTATTTATCTTGTTTCTGAATATATTTGAAAATCAATTTTCTTGATGAATAACAATGATATTGACTTAAAAATCTTATATCTCTACAATAATAAATTAAGAGTTTAAGCACTTCTCAGAATATTTATATTTCATTAAGATCTATATTATGCACATTGTCCTAACTCAAAAATGATTAATCAATTCGATGACTTGTCAACTAAGGACAACAAACAAATCTTTTGTATTATGAGATTTTTCTGATTGATTGCCCTCCTTATAGAATAACTCTTCAATTAGTACAATCATTTATTCTGATTAATATTCCATGACATGTTGGAAAACTTTTTCTATATAACATAAACATAATGTCTATATAAAAACATCCTAGTCAAAAATTGTTTGGAGCTATTTATAATGTTTGTTTTAAATACTAATTGTACTAAAAATATTGTCATATTTCCTTGAATATATAATTTCACAACTGTTCCATATTGATTTTTGCCATAGAGAAATTTATTTTCCCAAGAAAAAAAAAAAACAATTAATTCTTCTTTATTTTTTGAAGGTTCATGAATTACTTAATTCATGTGGTGTTCAATGGGATGGTGTAAATATAATATCATTAGTTGATCATAGTGAAGATGTTGTACGTGCTGCTGAACAAGCTGCATTAAAAGTTATTCGAGAAAAAGGTATTATTGATTTACGAACACCACCATCATCATCAACAATAAATGTTGATATTCATGATGAATCAGTTGTTTCACCTGATGCAACTGCATCATCTTCATGATTGAGACATTTTCTTTTTTTTTTGTTTTTATTTCATATATTTGTGTGTTTTCTTTATTGGTGTTCAAAGCGTCATTTCTCAATCTCTTTCTCTATCTATCTATCTATATATATATATTGACTAATTACACATAGTATTTTTTTTTGCACAAATACATACATACATACAAGCATATATGAATCATATTTTGATTTAGAAGAATTCGTGTTTTTTTTCCTGTTTTTGTTGTTGTTATTCTTTGCTTCAGTAATTCTAAATGAAAAGAAAACACAACATTTTTATGTGTATGTAAAAGAAATAGAGCAAAATATTGTCCGCTTCGTTTTTCTTTTTTTTTTTTTTAATTGGCGATATACATATATATATATATATATATACAAATATAAAGTGTATTTAGTCACTGGCGTGTGCGTGTTTTTCAAAAATTTATTGTCATTGTCATTATTTGTCTTTATGAAATAAAAACCTCATCTTTTTTGGAGAATGATGCAATTAAAAATATTGATCATTGTATTGTGCATTAAAAAAAAAAAGAAAAGAAAAAGCAAGAAAGTAAAACACAAACAATGAGCGGATAACATAAAAAAAAAAAAAAAAGAGAAAAAGAGACAGAGACAAGCATATCACGACGATGCTGGCTGATGAGTCTGTGGATATGTCGTAGACATTCTAGATGATTGTTGTTCATCAGCAAGTTCTTGCCATCGTTGAAGATTACTTCTGAAGAAAATTAATTTTTTTAATAGAATATAAAAAAATAAACGAGCTTGTTTTTATATACCTGGCTCCATTCAGCATAGGCATTGTCTCAGGTAGAATACGTACAATTAACGAATAGCACGGGATACAAATACTTTTGATAAAATTCACCTAGAATAAAGAAAAATTAAGTTTTAGAATTTGATTCTTGAAGAGAATAAAATGGATCTTCATGAAATTTTTACTATCTTAAAATAAGGAATTACGTGTTCGAAAGAAGAAAAAAATTGTCAACAATGTTTTTTGTAGTTTTCATGAAAGAAATCCGGTTTTCGATGGAATTTTGACCACAAATACTTGAAAGTATTCTTCAGAGGTGAATTCTGCCATCTTTGTTTTTGGCCTTTCTATCCAGATTTATAAAGTACTCCGGTTTGGACTCTGAACCTTTATACATATCTTCTTATTTTAGGTACTTTATCTTGTAATAGAAATTTCATGCAGATTCGTTGTACTTTCTTCGAGAACTACAAATAACCAAAACGAGGGTATGTACTTTTAATAACTTTTATATGATATACATCTTGGTATGTAGCAATCCTAGTCACAAGTCAGACAAGGATTGATGCATACTTATACATATCGTATTGATAATGTAATCGATTATTATTTTTCTATGTTATAATATTAATATATATATATATTTTTTTTTACCTGGTTTTTTGGCAATTCATGTGCCAGTGATCGATCCATTAATGATTGTGGTTGAATACCTCGTCGTTTTTCTTCATCACCCTGTATGAATAAATTTTCAGATTAAAAGAAAAAAAAATATTCTACAAGATATATCTCTCCCTCTTGCTTTCTTTCTCTATTATAATTAAAATCGAATCCATTAGAAGAAAGCAGCAAGAATATGTATTTTTTTTTTCTTTAAGAAAAAGAAGGCACACCTCTTGCCAAAATTCGTCCATGATCGTATTGACAACATTTTCTTGTATTTGCCAAGGTTTATACATAGCACATAAATCGACTACTGTCATTGATAATGATTGTAAACGTTGACTGTAAGGAAAAAAAAAAGAGAAACAAATACACACAATGAACATCATTATACGACGAACTTTTGTGTGTTAATATAAGTTTAATTTTTAGAGCAAAAACAAAAAAAATTTTTTTTTATTAATCACTTCCGGTTTTTTATTTCTTATTGTGATCAGTGAATGCTGTTTTCTTGTAAGATTTAATGTAGACAGCAAGAGGGAGAGAGAGAGAACAAAAATCAAACATATTCAATCACCTGTTGAAAAAATTCCTCCATGATGATGCTCACATTCGACCGCTGTACTTCCCATTGTTTAAACGAAGAGCATAAATCAGCAGCGGTCATACTGAGCCCCATCATGAGTTGTCTAGAGATAAGAGCAAAGCAATGAAAAGATAATTATATAATTGATTATCAAGATAGAATTGCTGCAGCGACAGAAAATTTTCAGGGAAAAGAAAATAAAGAAACCAGCAATGATAAATTTGAATACTTGAGATATATATATATATATATATATATAAACTTATTGTTCTGGATATAGAAATATAATATATCCAACTCACGTATGCTCTTTATTGTTCCAATCGAATTGAGAATTATCAATAATATGTTCAAATTTTGGACGATTTTCAAAAAATAATGCTAAATCTGTTGCTAATATACAATGACGAATATCATCTAACATTTGTCGATATTCTTTGGGTGAAAGATGTTTAAATATATTATGACTCTCCGTCTAAATATATTAAACATGAATTATTTTAATATTAAATAAAAGAAAAACAAATTACGATTTTACTTGTAATATAGTTACTGTTTGATTAAAATGATGTCGTTCCATAGTTGATGTTGAATAAATAGAAGCAAGAGTTGAAGCACTTTTTACCATATAATCATTGGTTTTACCTCGATGATCAAGATCATGACAAAGACAAGCAACAAATAGAGCAATACACTAAATATAATTAACATATGTACTTTTTTTTTTTTTTTGTTTTTTTTAATTAGATTCATATTAATATTCTTTTTCTTTTTGTCTCTGATTATCATATATCATCAATCAAAGAATCTTGTCAAATGATAAATTGTTTTTCAATGACATCTTATCTTCTTTTAAGAAGATTCTATGAAAAAGTCGAAAATGATTTATGTCCATGGATTTTTCTTTTTTCAGCTATGATTCATTTTCATTATGTTTTCAACTGAATATCTTGACTTCTACTGAATAACCTTTAAAATCGACTTTAGAATTGTGATAATTTTACATAATAAAAGTTCATTATAGAACAACTTTATTTATGCAACTATCATATTCTCTAGTATTTTCTATTCTAAGATATAAACATAAAGATAATATTTGCTTCTTTGTATCATAGAATATTCAATCTTAGTAACTTAGGATAAAAGATATTAGAAAATCTGATATTTTTATAATGAAAATAGTATTATTAAGAATTTAATTTGTGTAAAGTTAGAATTAAACAATTGATTTTGACGGTAATCTGAGAAGAGTCTAATGAGAAATGTCTTTCAATGAATAAAATCACTTTTGAATTGAAATTACATACATTATGAAGACTCAAATGAATTATGAATATTTTGAAAAGAACTCATGTCCTTAGATTATTATTGCATTTTTACGATATTTTTTAAACGAATGTCGTAGAGTCTATCTTAAGAAACATCAGAAAAACTAATTTTCGACCCTAAAGTTCTCTCGAAATCATCTGAAAATAAATATTAACAAAAGAAGAAATGATTATTTAAAATAATTGTGGAATATTAGAATTTCATTTTTATTTTCTTCCTATGAATTATACATTTGTTTGTTTTTTTTACAAACCTGATTCGGTGTAAATTTATGTTTAGTCTGTTTTATCACAGTGTAAATTGCATGTGCAACACTGAATGCATGTGACCAATTATGATAAGGAACATTACGATAATTTTTTCGTACAGTTAATGTAAATCTTATCACACATTCCATATCAAATCTTTAAAAAATAAAAATCAAACCGATTGAATAAATAAAATTCTTAATTATTTACCTATTCGCATTCAATGGATCCATCATATTAGTCAAATCACGAAACATATAAAGAACATAAATAGGTTTCATATCATTAGCAACACTCCATGGTGAAAATTCAAATTGATTAATATTTGGAATGTTGCTTGGAAGTTCATATGTTTTATAACGTTCATATTCTTCATCAGGACATGATGCATGATATGATAAAACTTCAAGAGCGACTTTACATTTTTGTTCCGAACGACGTATACGATCATAAAGTGATGCATGATGTAAAGCTTAAAATAAAAAAATAAAATTTTAGTTAATTCATATAAGATATTATTAAACAGGAGAATATTTATTTAGATATTCTTAGTAATATATTTCCCTCGAGTAATTTTTCTTGCTATTGTTTTCAAAGCAATTTATAATCTATAATGCTTATACATAAGATATCACATAATTCATTATATGAAAATTAACAAAGATCTCTTGAGATTATTCAGTTTTGTTCTTTTTTCTTTCTTTTTTATCAAAGATTACGTATAATAGAATCCATTGAGACTGACGCATATTTCTTTTTCTTTTTTGTTTGAATAGATCTTTTCAATTATATTAATAGCTATAATTTGTTTGCATGTAACAAGTCTTTTAGACTTTAATTGTTAATTTAATCAAAACTATTTCTATTCAAAATTTATAATTAACTACGTTAAGAATTTAAAAAAAAAACAAATCATCAAACATCTCTTATATTTAAACATACCAAGTCCACAATAAACAGCAAATGTTTCAAATGATTCTTCATCACTTTTTGTAAAAGGTCCATTTTTTTTATTAACCATTTGAACAACACCAATAACATTTCCTTGAATCATAATTGGCATACATAAAATTGTTTTAGTTTTATAACCTGTTTTCTGATCAATATCTCTATGAAACAAAACAAAACAAAAAAGATTAATCTTATCAATTAATAATATATTTATATAAATTCTTACCGATTAAATCGTTCATCACTATAAGCATCAGTAATATTCAAAGTTTTTCCAGTTGCTGCTACATAACCAGCAATACCTTTATCCATTGGAAAACGTATACAAGCACGTTCATCAGATGATAAATTTTTTTGCATTTGTCCATTTTTATCATTAACAAGTAATGAATTAAGTACATCATGTTCTTCACGTCCTATATCAAATATTCTTGCATAAAGTTCTTTTGTACGAGAATCAACCA